TCTAGATACCTAAAGGCAAGTCTAATTGTTATTCCGCTCGCCTAATATTTCTAGACCTCCGTTTCCGTATCCTCGTCGCAAGCTCCTCGAATGCTCTAACTACGGCCTAGAAATATCCGGCTTCGCTCGGATTAGAGGGATTTCGCCGTACCTTTGTTGCCGCTCTAGGTACCGCTCTAGGTGCCGCTCTAGCTCCTAATTATAGCCGCTATGTCTCGAATAAGCCTAGTATTCCGTCTCTTTCCGCTTCGTATAGATATCGTATTTCCGAGCGCGTAGCGCGTATATAGTATAGGCAAAATAGCAGTCGTTAAGGTAGTAAGGTCGCGCTTGCTAGCAATCGTCGTTATATTAATCGCTTAGGTGTATACGAAGCGTAGAGACCGTAGTTTCCGCTCGCGGCCGACAATTCCGTATATAAGGAAGGTATAGAGTCTAGACGATTATATCGATATAAAGGTAGAAGATAAATATAGGTATATCGCCGTTTTTAGAGATTGTTGTTATTGTTATTAATAGTTAGTATGTATTTTAGAAGGTTAGAAGGTTAGATAGGCCTCACTGCCGCTACGCTTAGCTAATTACCGCGGTAATAGGTTTAGTAAGGCAGAGATTCGCTTCCTAGCTATTATATTGCGAATCGACACTATATAATAGTCTAATCGTTACGTCTGCGAGCCGGAGCTAGTATTCTATATTATATATCGGCGGCTATCGTATCCGTGTCGCTAGAAGGACCTTACTAACTATTTTAGCCGACTAAAGTGCTTTCTATCGACAATCTTCTCGGATACGATACTCTATATCGAGGAGCAATTCGGAAGCCTTGTCCGGTAGCACCTACGATTAAGACGATATTACATTATAAGGGGCTTTGCACGCAGTATTAAAAGAGCTAGATATCTAGGTAATTTTTGGGGTTTTATTAATAGCACATTCCGTAGTACTACGAGGCCTCTTCGGTCTACCTATAACTAACGAATCTACTATACGGGGCATAAGAAGAAGCATAGCTATAAATTCTAAGGCATTATTACCCCCGACGGTATACTATCGTCTCTTATCGGCCTATTCGAAGGCAGATCTAATAACTAGTCTATCTAGCAAGAATCCCTAGTTCCCGAGCGAATACGCCGTCTTATAGAAAACCGGACAATGCTCTATCTCTATAGCGATCTAGTATACTATTGTACTTATAGTATTATCTGTCTATAGCCTAGCAAGCCTCTGCCGCTATTAAAACAAGCATTTAATACTCGTATATTAAGGGCAAGAATAGAGATAGAATACGCCTTTAGAAAGACCTTGCAGTTATAGGGATATCTAGGCCTTACTAAGCAACAATACATTAGCAACTAGCCTGTCTCGTCTTATTATCTAACGGCTACTTTGCTTACAAACGTATACACCTGCCTACGAGGTAGCAATTAGTGTAATACGCGCTTTAAGACAAGACCTCCCTCTACTACGGAATATCTCTATCTATACGGCAATGCACCTATTCTAGACAAGCCTGTCTATCTACAGCGAATATATATACGAAAGCGAAGACATAGGCGGGCAGTTGACATTTAGTAATAGTCGAGAAGGTTCTATATAGGAGGTCCGCGGACCTCCGTAGTTATCTTAGCCGAAATGTATATATATACTAAGCTATAACCTTTAGCACTACATTTTACTATAACGCAATACTAACACCTATATATTACTATATAAGCGCTTCATCGTATATATCGTAGCTATAATATATTTTTTACGCGACTTTATATAACTAAAATTAACTATTTTATAGCTATATAGTAGAAGCGACAAACATGCTATTTTATTAGCCCTTAAACTGCGACAGATCTACTATCGGATCGAATAGATCTACGCCCGCTGCTATATACTCCTATAGCTCTGCTTTACTATAAGTACTTCTAATTAATTGTTTATAAGTTAGGTCGACCTCTATATTCTTAGCAACTGCCGGAGTGCTTTCCTTTACTAAATTTGCCTAGTTAGAGCCCTGTTCCTACTTGCTAGCTATATTCTTTAAGAGCGACAGAATAGTATCATTCTAGGCCTTAAGCGTACTAATATCGCTCTTTAGCCTCTTTAGCTCGCGCTTACTCTTATCGTTTACTTTACTACTATTTAACGACCGTACTAACGCCGCTATACTAGCTTCTATTATCGGAGGTTCTTTAGCTAACTCCCGCCTTGTCTTGCGCTTCTTAGAGGCCTTCCTATCGACTAGCCGTAGCGTTACTAAAGAACGAGAAGCTAGCGTTGCTAAAGAACGAGAAGCCGCTAGAGTCTATAAATTATAGACTGCCTCTTTATCGAAGTCGGCCTCCGAATAGACTGTTTCTAGTAGATCAATCTTATTCCGCTCCGCTTCCTCGTCTATCTTATCTTCTTCTTTATTAATATAAGTATTAGACTTACTACTACTACTAGACTCGGGGTCTAGTAAGGGCGCTTTCTTCTTCCCTTTATCCTTCCGGCTTTTAGTAAGGTTTAGTCTTACTTGCTAAGCATTAATAGCCTTATCTTCCTTCTTCTTAGCGGCCTTCGCCTTGTCTTTAGCTAACTATTACTTCTTAGCAATCGCCGCCTTTATCTTACTAAGCCGATTAGTGTATTCGTTGTTAAATTTAGTGCCGGAGTCTATATAGGTGCCGCCTTGCTTAGGGTCGCGCTATTAGTTATAGACCTTTAGTATTGCCTTAAATACCTTCTTTAAGCTTCCGTAAGTAAATCCGGTCTCTTTTGCGAATACTAGGCTAATAGTATCCTATATTTTAGGCTAACTAAGTATTATTATATGCTTAAATACTACCTTACTAAGTACGACCTTCTAATAGTTAGTAAGGCTAGAAGAGCCTATAGGCTAACTCGCTTATAGCGCCTCTTTATCGACTATACTAATAGCCGCTTAATCGGCTTCTAATTAAGCCGCTAACCTCGCCTTCCTTCGAGCGGATTTACTCGCCTTACGGTTAAGCGGCTATAGCGTATTTAGTAGAGGCATCTTACCTTATAGGGTAGTAAGATACTAAGTAATAGGTTAAGGTATTGTTATCTATCGCTTAGTCGACTAAGCGACTAGTTTACTACGCTTATTATAGATAAGCTAGCTAGGAGGTCTATAGAAACGGTCGAAATCGATACTATTACTAGGCGGCTAAATAGCGCTCGGCGGTTATAGAATCGGTATAGGGGTTAGAGACTAGGAAATAGGCGTAGAGGCGACCGACGAGAGCCTTAAGAAGCTATTCTCGTAAGACATAATTGCTAGTAATTAATATACTAATTTATTTTATAGCGATAGTCGATACGATATATAGAAGGCTAGAAGCCCGAGGTTAGTACCTACGGCTAATTCTACTACGCTAAGCTATATTTACTTACTTAGCGACCTAATCTAGCACTAGAGCGGCCGCTCTAGCGCTAGAGCGGCAGCTAAAGGTAACACGTATACGCGCACTATTTACTTCCTTATTAGGCCGCACTAGGCTATATTAGGGGCTAGAGCGGTACCTAGAGCGGCATTAGAAGGTGCGGCGAAATCCCTCTATTATGTCTTAACGATACTAGAGCAAGCAGGGTAGTTGTGTAGGCCTTCGTAGCTTCGCTATATACCTACTCCCCGTATTCGGGGTTTCGTTAGTTACACTTTACCCCGCGGTCGCGGGGATTTAAACTATATATAAAATCGCACTTTCTTAGTAGGCTATACGTAAATCTCGATATAATCGTATATTCTAGTCCTATTCGGATATCTAGGTAGGTGTAGTAAGGAACCGCGAGTCTAAATATTATATATATAGCCTTATCCGAGTATATAGTAGCTATAGACCTTACTACCGCTGTTTTCTTATATAATCCTTAGTAGGCGCGTCTACCTTATTCTAAGGCGCGTACCGCGCAATAGAGGCTAAATCGGGCTATCGGCTAAGAAGGTTAGTATTCGCGCACTCTATAAGGCCGAGAAGAGAGGTCCTATAGTCGCAATTTAGTTACTAATATACTAGAAATCTACTATTTCTTGTCTCTTATTCTACTTATGTTTAGTCTCCTATTATATATGCTCTACAACATTGCTGTCGTCGAGTTTTACGTGTGGCCTACTAAGAAAGTGCGATTTTACGTATAGTTTAAATCCCCGAGCGCGGGCGAGGGGTAAAGTGGGCTGACGCAACCCCGGATACCGCAAAAGCAGAATCCCGCAGAGCTCACGTGACTCAAACCAGGAAAACATAGCCCCAAGCGAATGAATAAACATGGTCGGTAACTTAGACGGGCTGACCGGCACTCTACCCACACAGACATGGCATGATGCTGCTCAGTGCCCTCCAACCCAAGCTCGTAGGGCCCATGATTGCAATGCAACGCTATGTGGGCGCACGACTCATTCTGCGCGGTCGTTTGACTTGCCTTCTGCGCTACAAATAAATGTCATCGATGCCCATCCAAACTTCCAAGCTCGGCCTGCTTGGATTGGACCTGGGCAAGCGGTAGAATAGTTCTAGAACTAGAATATCGTCGGCGTCGGCGTCGGCGTCGGCAGCATGCGGTTCACACTCGTCTGCACAGCGTTCATCGCAACGATAACGGCAACGGCAACGGCATCGCCACACTGGCCGGACAACGACCCGCCCAAAGATGCCTCGTACTGGGAAGAAAGATGGCCCGACCTGCCAAACGTCTACACTCCCGCACTGCCCAGTCTGCCCACCAAACTAGGCGCACATCCTCCCGAGTTGCCAACAGCGACAACGACGAGTACGGCCACAGCAGCATCCAACGCGACATCGACGGGACCAATCACGACCTCGGCGACTCCCACAAAGACGTAAGCAGCTTCCCGATTGCTATATAGAACGAGTGCATCTGCGGTTCGTGAGCTGAACTTCCTTGACAGTGCCCCTTGTGACAATGCTTGTTGCAGCATTCGTGATATCGCATTGTCATCCAGCAATGCGGGCTCTTCATTGCCTACCGCCACCCCAACAGTGCCAGCCGCGCTCGCATACGAGTGCATCACAAGTGTCAAGTATAACCAGTCCGCAGCAGTCGCGTTCTTGGATTCTCTTCGCCCGTATCTTGAATGGCAATCGACCATCCAGTGGCTGAAGGATCCGCCGCAAGAATATGCACAGAAGATCCAACCTCCTTACGACTTCTGGTCCGAGTTCAACCGAATCTATGCGAAAGCAAGCGGCCAAAGCTACGACACGTATGCGAATGAACATGAATTCGGATTTGACCTATACCGCGCTTTTCAAAAAAGTCATGACGGCCATTTCTACATTCTGCCAGACAGCGTAGGATACATCTTCTCCTTTTTCAGAACGACCCCATTGGTCTCTGTATCCGACGATGGCGAAACGGTGCCTCAGATCTATGTCTTCTCAGACGTGCTGGAATGCACCGCGGGAAATGCTTCCTACACCCCTAGCCCCATCACACACATCGACGGACGAGATAGCCAGGACTTCTTGCTGGAGTGGTCACAGTACGGTAGCCTTCAAGACCGGGATGCGCTGTGGAATAATATGTTCTACTTGCTACAAGCCGTCTCCCTCGGCAGCAAAGGCACCGGCTTGGGCACGTTTGCAGGTGGTGGTCGAGGCCGTTGGATTTATCCTGGACCAACAACGACCCTCAAGTTCAAAAATGGAACCGAAATCGTGAACCAGAACTTTGCGCGTGTGTTACAAGAGTTCAACAATATCACATCACCCGCAGACGTGTACAGTAACTTCTTCGCGGTCAAGGAAGGGGATGTCCAGAACGCCTACCAGCTCGCAGCACCAGCCCCATCCACCACTGAATCTCCAACAAGTACTACTTCGGCCACCAGCTCCACATCAACTACAGCAGCCGCCACTCCCGTTGCAGCACCAGGCTATCCCAAGCCAGTGGTGAGGCAGCAGAAAAATGCCAACGGCGGCTACTACATTGAGGAAGAAGATTACAAGGATGTCGCCGTTCTGAGCGTGGCTTCCTTCGTCAGTGCGATCACAGACGAGAAGCCGTTCCAATCCATCAATACCTACTTCCTCGAGAAAGCTGCGAATGGTAAGTGCTACGTCTCAACATCAACATCCCGTTTGTACGCTGATGACTTCCAGACAGCAAAACCAAGCTGATTATCGATGTTTCCGCAAATGGCGGTGGAACGGTGCTGCAAGCCTACGATCTGTTCAAGCAGCTCTTTCCCGCTCTCCTGCCATATGGTGCGAACCGCTTCAGAGCGCATGAAGCACTCGATTTCGTTGGACAGGAAGTCAGCCATTTCTCGGATCTCATCGGTAATCGAAGCGAGCTTGTATGCCCCGAACAGCTATGAGTCCTTACATTCCCATGCTGACTCCCGCGCAGAGCAATCAAACGATAAAGGATCTACAGTCCACGGTTTTCGACTATCACACCGATGCCGATGTGAATTACACTGCCTTCACATCTTGGCCTGATAAATACAGTCCACTCAAGCTCGGTCCTGCGCAAGACACATTCACCGGCCTAATCCGTTGGAACATGAGTGATGTGCTCACAGTCGAGAGTTCTGGCGGCATTGTCGTTAGTGGCTATCTGAATCGCACTAATATCACCAAACAGCACTTTGAAGCCGAGAACATCGTCATCCTGACTGACGGCTATTGTGCCTCGACATGCACCATCTTCAGCGAGCTAATGAGGCAGCAAGCCGGAGTCAGAACAATCAATTTGGGAGGACGGCCAAACAAAGATATCACGCAAGCGATTGGAGGTGTCAAAGGTACCAACAACTTCGAATACGACTACGTCCTGGAAGCAGCAGTCGTAGTTCCGTTCATGTACAAGTACATTCATTCCGAGGAATTCTACAACAACAGCGTTCTCGCCAAATACAATACCCTTCCCATGTTCCGCGCGCTTGGTCCCGGCATCAATGTGAGAGATGGCTATCGGCAGAACGACACTTCGAACATCCCACTTCAGTTCCAGTACGAACCAGCAGATTGTAGAATCTACTACACTCCGGCCATGGCTGTGGATCAAACTGCTGTCTGGAAGACGGTGGCCGATACAGCTTGGCGCGGTGCTGATCATTGTATCGCTGGAAGCATGAAGAAGGCTCCCGCATATGGTGGTAATCCGCCGAAGAGAGATCTGAGGAAGCGGCAGCAGCATCAGGTCAGGAGCGACCTAGATATCAATGAGCATCACCTGGCACTGCGGGAAGTCTGGACCGATCGGTTTGGTGATACTCATGGTGGCAGTGGCTTCATGCGGCCCTAGATCTGGTGTCGTGCAGCCCCCCCGGCTTCGATCCTCAGGTCATTCTTTTCAGATATTGATATCTGATGCATCCACAATCACTTCTGTAGCGGGAAACCCCGGCATTGTGGTTGGCATGTACTTAGATTTCCCTGCCACCACCACGCATCATCATCGACATACATAGCGACACAGCAGCTCATACAACACCTCAATAGAACATGTAGAGGCAATAATGTAGCTCTTCTGCACACTTATCATTGTAATCCTTCCATCTACGTACACAGACTCCTCGCAGCATCCCGAACAATGGGGCATACCAAAGACGGTTCCCTGCATATACACGACCTACCCAGCCCTCCCAAGCCATCCATTGCCATCTTGGATCATCGTACACTCCATTTCAAGCCCCCGTCTCAACATCACTGGACTCGATTCTGATTGATTCCTCACTTCTTGTCCCGACTACGATCATCCCATCGAAAGTGCCAGTAAGATACCAAAACTCTGCAAGGCAGCACTATTCTACTAATCAAAGTGGGTAGGTACCTGGGTGCTGTGTCCGTCTCTTGAAACTCAAGCTACTGACAACGCCACTAGAATTCGAAGCACCGACCATCGCTGTAGCCCTCCGACCGCTTCCTCGATTCAGTAGTAATTCTCTGATTGTAATCACAGTCATAATTTTAGCAATTACAACCACAATCATTGTAATTGTGAGTAGTTTTGTGAATTATAGGAATCAACGATCAACAACCATGTTCCTAACTGTGGTCCCTGTATTTCTATAGGAGACCGCAATCAAAGCATTCCCGATCGTGATCCAATGCAGGAGCGTTGGGATAGATTTCTTGAAGTTGCCCGAATCCTGTTGCAAAGTTCTATGTATCTATTGAGCAATGACATGACAAGCCTGTTGCATCCCCCCTTGCTGGGTGGAAAGCTTGATTGTCGTCTCGCTCATCCGATAAATTCTTACTTACGCGAAAGCAAGCATATACCTCTAGATGTTCCCACAACCAGTCCCTTTTACCAAGCGCATGTCCCCAATCTAAAGAGTATACAAAAACCCCGGCCTCCGATCCCCAGCAACCAAAATCTGTTCCGCAGTCAATCCATCCAGCAAATAATCTCTCTTGCCCGCTCTACGCTTCTGATTCTCAATCGCAAGCATAGTCCGAATGAAAACAGTCCCACCAAAAAGACAAAAAACCATATACGCCAATACAACACCATGACCAGACCAGTAACGCGGCTTTTCGGATTTGAGGTAGATGTTGGAAGACACGATGCCATTTAAATTTCCCCAGCCAACGACGACGCCTAGGAGGACTCCGCGTTTGTAGCCGCCTTCGACGTTGTTCGCTGCCCAGCATAGGTTGTTGGGAATGGTTGGGTAGATGCCCATGGCGCCTAGGAATGTGCCTGTGTATCTTTGCAAGATGTTAGCTTTGCTTAAACTTTGATCTTGATGTTGGGGGGGCTTCTTCGTAGTAGTCGTACTGGATTTGAGGGTTATTGCTGGTTAGGAGCATAATGAAACCGACGATGCCGATGCTTGAGATTATCATGTTGCATATGCCACGTTGTCGTGTTCGATCGGCGATGTAGCCGATCGCCACAGTGAGTGCTGCAGCAACTGCATAAGGCTGGAGAGAGAATCTGTCTGTCAGCGGCGTTGCGGGACTCAACTTCGGGGCTTTGAAAACCTACAGGTACGGTCATGAGCTGTGCGTGAGTTCCTTTGTGGCCCATGGCAGCGACGATAGTAGGCAGAAATAAACTAAAGGCATAGAGCGGCATGAAATTTCCCATTTCCGTGACGCAAAACGCCCAGCATTTCCAATCTTTGAGGGCAGCCTTTACATGTCGCTTATCGTATTCGTCGGCAGTATTCGAAAGATTGTCTTTGGTCAATCTGTAGCGTAATCGAAGCTTCTCTTCTGGCGTAAGAAATCGAGCAGTCTCGGGCTGGGGTAGTAGTCCTGTCAGTAGCATTCCGATCAATCACATGTGATGGTCTGTGCGTACCCAATTGTGACACATCCACCAGCAGAAAGCTCCAATAATCATAGTTGCAAGTCCCTCAATGATGAAGATCCATGCCCATCCAGCCTTGCCGCCCAGTCCGTCCATATTGGCAATGGCAGCGGCGAGGAGCCCACCGAAGGATCCGGCCAGTGCGGCATTAGCGAAGAAAATTGACAGGCGAAAGCCAAGTTCGTCTCGCTTATACCAGCATCTGCACGAGTCGCTTTAGCATATGTTGGTGGCAATGAAGCTCTTCGTGCCACTCACGATAGATAGTAGTTCACTCCCGGGAAGAGTCCAGCTTCGGTGATCCCGAGGAAGAATCGTGCTGCTAGTAAGCCACTGAAGTTGTGTACAAGACCCATGCACATCATGCAGAGTCCCTATCGAACGATTAGCCCCACTGAACGAATGAAATTTCAGCATATCGAATGTTGCGAAGCACAGCTTCGATAGACGACAACAGATAAAGACGGCATATCCGACACAACAGCCTTTTCTCGGTCTCTGTCTTCCGAGCTTCTCCTGACTTTATCCACGGATACCAAGTCTTTAGAACAAAGGAAAGGCTCGACTGACCCAAGTCAAAGTGACAATCGTGAAGAATACTCTCGGTGAAATCCTCTTCATAACCAGATTCGTGAACGGCTCGGCGCCTGCATACGAGATGAAGAAGATGGTGAGGGCAAGGTTATAATCGTGACCTGCGTTTCGTTCAGTGAATGCACCTCTGACTGATTCCCCGATTATTCTTCCACGCACCGTGCATATCGAGGTCCTCTTCCATCCCGGCCAGGCGCGCATTGCCGATATTCGTTCGATCGAGGAAGCATAGGAGATAGACCAAGCACAGCCACGGTATGAGCCAGAGATCAACCTTTCGCATCAGTTTTCTGTCCTGTGACGCAGTGAGCATGAGATGAATTCAATTCTTGTTCATGGTATTTTACCAAGGCGTTCCTCTGCGCTTCGCTCTTCCCAACATCAGGGTCGGTCTCATCGAGAGAGGTGTGCCCGAGACTGGTGCTGGAAGAATCATTGACGAGTGCTTTCTCGGAGATCTCGCCCGTCTCGAGGTCAGCCATTGCAAAGGACGTGGAAAAGCGCTGTGTGCTCTCATGCAGTGAAATGGAGGGGTGTTTTGTAAATTTCAAAGATCAGTTGCTCTCAGCTCAGCTCGAAGCCGCAATTCATGAGATGTTCTAAGAATTCCAGCCGTCTGGTTGACAAAGGCGGCCAGGATAGCAATCCATGTCTGGGGCCGTCTGCAGTGCAACGGTGCATGTGCGCGTGCTGGCAAGCCCTCAAGCACCATTGCCAGTCAATTCTGCACCATGAGCCGGGGCTTCGAGAATGCACTCGCTACTTTCCGGAGCGGCAAGACAGTTCAGAATCTGGGCTTTCTCGCTTGATAGGATCTGAGCTTTTCTTTGGTAGCTTATCTTGAGCTTGAGCAGCGTTCTTGATCTCGCCCTCGAGGTGCTGCACGAGCGTGCAAGCCTTGGGTCGTACAGCATGTTCGGCGTCCAGGCCAGAACAGCAGCTCTGCATTGAATGCGGTACAGCTCCGAGATACATGGCTTTCAGCCTCGCCTTTGTCCTACCTCAGCTTGCAGAGCTCTCCCTCAGCTGGATGATCTCCAGCAGCGTGCAGATATTTGACAATGTCGGCTCGAAGCCTCTTCGGGCCATGTGCCACGAGACGAGCGGCGTATACATTGCTAATGGGGTTCTCTCCGGATGAGCATCTTGAAGCGGGAGTGGTGGTGTGGCACTGTATTGCGGCCATGAAATGGCGAGCCATTTATAGCGCCCCAAGCTCTGCAGTCTAAAGCACGCCGGACACCGTAGCAGATGAGGTCGACATCGAATTTCGTCTGGAGCTGGGTAGCGCGGATCGGTACATGTGCCATCGTGCTCGACGATCACTGCGCGCTTTCAAGTCAGTCCGGGACAATTTGCTCGAAAAGGTTATTGCGCTTGTCACTCGGGCGGTCAGCTATGGTGGGAGAAGTCGGGGTTCTCATGAAGTAGTCATTGTTGAAGCTTCCGACCGCCCATCCACCTCGATCAGTCTTGGACATATGGCTCAAGGTCTTGGCAAGTATGATAAGAAAGCATGTATTTTCGACTTGCCTGCAGTCTATCGCCAATTTGAGCCTTTCAAGTACCGTTTTGTGTCGTGGACATTGCCTCGTGTATTCGTAATCATCATCATCATCATCATCGATCATTCGCTATCTTTCGACAATCTTGCGTCCTCACTCAAAGTAGACTCTTCATCTTCACGGTCACTCAATCGGAATTGCTCGGCCATTTGGAGGTCATCGTCTGCAGGCTTCTCATGCTGATGCAACTCGATGTGGACGAACAGCACCCACAAACCGACATCGTAACTCAGCCTGAACGCACCACCTGCAACGAATGCCACCCAGAAGCGGTCGCTACCAGCCAAGAATCCAGTGACCATGGGGCCGGTCGTTGCAGCCAAAGTTCGAAGCATAGATGTGATGCCCATGACAGCTGTTCGCTCTTCAGGCTTTACGATCGCTGCAATGAGAGCTGTTCGTGGAGCTTGGTCCATGTTGTTCAGGCCCGATCTGACGCAGAGCAGGATGACTGTCATCCAAAACACGTTCGGCCACGGGAAGAGCAAGACTGCGGCTGAAGAAGGGATGTGCGTGAACACCATGGTGTTGACCAAGCCAATCTTCCTCGCCAGCGGTCCTGCAAAGACCCCGCCAATTGCTTGAAGGAAGTAGCTTACCGAGATGGCATCACCTAACGTACTCTTCTTGGGATGAAACTTGGTATCCATGTAGTAAGTGGTCAAAGAGTACGGCACCATGCCATCTGCCAGTGAGTCGAGTGCCAACAGAGCCCACAGCTTCCAGACGACGGACAACGTCGAGCCTGAGATGTGTCCAGTCCATGAAGTGAGGCGGGTTGTCAGGGCTTTGAACTGTGATGATGGTTCGACCGGGGCAGTAGGGTTTGCTGAAGGTTCGGCAGGGCTATGATTGTCGGGATGCTCGGTGAGCTCGAACGAAAATTCACGCTCTTCCTGCGCCACGTGTTCATACTTCTTCTCGTCTTGGAGAGCGTCGGCTTCGCAGTCTTTGGACAAGCAGAAGACAATCATCGCATTCACGATACCCATCACAGCGTATACCCAGAAGAGCGAGTGGTAGGCGTCTTTAATCGTCCAGCCATCTCTGTTCTGGAGATAGTCGATGATTCTGCCCGATGCTTCGCTGCCGACTGATGAGCCCCAAGCAGAGAATGTGACGTACCACGCAAGAACATCTGATCGAGTAGACGGCGTGGTGAGTTGAGAGATAATGGATCTGACGTTGTCAGCCCATGCAGCCGTGCGAAGCGTTCCGCTGCGACTCACTCTTCTATCGATCGAAAGGGACCAAAGTCTCCACCAGTCGCACTCACCACTCCCACGATGGCAGCGAAGAGAAGAATCCAGAAGTTTTCGAAGATGGCAAAGCAGAGCCCAGTCAATACCATCAGAAAGCTTCCGCCAAGTAAGATTTTCCGTCGGCCGAAGCGATCCGCGATGAGCGTCAAGGAGGTTCCCAGAAAGACATCTCCAAGAAGAGTCAAGGTCATGAACAGTCCGATTCGAGCGTCGGAAAAGCCAAGTTCCGAGAAGAATAGTGCTGTACCAGGTCAGCCTCGATGTTGAAAGATATCTCGCGCCCAAACGCCGCCCAAGACTCACCCAGGACCAAAGCATTCGTGCCATAAGCAAACATGCGGAGAGAGCGCGCCGCTATCATGAGCCAAGCGTTGCGGCCAGTCTTCTGAATCGAGTCGATGCCGAATTCATGATAGAACCAGAGCAAAGGACGTGCAAGCACGGCCATTCGATTTCAATCTTCACGACTGCACCAAGGCAGGAGTATGTGATGTGAAGGGCCAAAATAGCGGTATGGAGTCGTCTTTGGCAGTAGTGCCATCATCAGCTGAATCACAGTCGCCGGCGCTTGCGATGTCGGCGTTGCCTCCAAATTGTTCATAGCTACATTGCTTATATTCATTCCATCGACAACAGCATCAAGCCGTCAAAAGATCCGTCTCAAAATCACTCCACATATACCGTCAGTCATCAAGCAATCCATGCCCTTGTCCTGTGGCTCTTGGATGTATATATAATAGGCAGTCATTACAATTGGATTCGAAGCAGCAAGTGAACAAGGAACTCACTTCGAACCTACACGCCCGTGAGTGATATCAAATCATTTGACATGTCGATACCATAATGGTCATGGAATTGGCAAAACAAAAAGCTTCGAACCACCATCACGGAAAGCTCGTTGGATCGCTCGCTGCGGACAGGATTCGAACCTGCGCGCCCGAAGGCATCAGATGTCTCGATGCGTGGGAGCATTCAAGTCTGACTCGTTAACCACTCCGACTGAGCGGCCGTTAGCACGAGCACGAAGAAGGTAGACGACGGTCACACATACCACCACAGCTTATTGCGTATTTCGTATCACGGTGGGATTAACGTCCACATATGTAATTTCAAACTCCAAATCTCATGCTGCAGCCATCAAGGGGTGAACCGGTGGAGCTTCGAGCTTGCCCGCCGAGCTGAGTCAGCAGCAGCATCTCTACCATGTTGAAGACACTACGTTTGCTTCACCATCGCGATGGATCAGCTTCATCACAGTGTCGTGGCACATTCAAAAAATGTCCCTCCACCTGATTCACCCATACATGGGCAACAGGGCGGTGGTGGTGACCATCGTCATTATTGTCGCAGGGTGCGGCTTGTTGAAGACCGTTGTTCCCGAGATCTCGGCCCGAGGATTCGAGATCTTCTTGGGGTATTCCTGGTCGATGACGAGAGGTGATTATGAAAGCTTTTTTCTTTCTTCTGACGAACGTCAGATTGTGTTCCATGTTTGATGATGAGGCGGAAATCAGTGGTCAAATTCAAATGGGAGAAGAGAGGTTACGGTCGTCAATCGAAAAGGCGACAGAATGATACAGAGAACTTGTACGAGTTGAGAGTCTTTATTTTCTTCTTCGAGCTACTATGATTTTGGGCATCTTCAAGAGGAGAACAGTCCTCCGCAATTTGTGTCGTCGCCGCAAGCAATTATGGGTATCATTCCAAGAGCTCCAATTGGGGCTGCTTCGTGAAAACATTCCAACGCCATTTTCATGTCGAGGACCCGTCGACTTTGGTCAGTCAACTCCAGGCCCATGTATACTCATCCTTATCGTCATTATACCATGAGGCACTCCTCGCTATCGTATGTCATGTAATGATATCTCCAACTCCGTATATGCCAAGGTCCGATGTCGCAAAGCTCGCTGTGATAAAGGTCCGAATTCCATTTTCCGAATGGGGAATGAATGCAGCTCCCCGAGCGCATTCGCTCTCGCCAGGCTGACTCTACTGACCGCCTGAGTGATCGGCGGTGTCAAGCTGCAACTTCCTGCTGCGATCGCTGGTCGAGCTTCGAACACACTGATTGAGGTGCCGCCGGTTCCGTGCTCACTCGTGCGACTGCGCGTGTGACGCGCTCCTTTGCGTTCGCCTGGTCAGATGGCAGTTCCCACATGCGATCGAAAGATGGAGCGTCTGTTTTGCCATGACAGGCACATTTGCGGACTGCTTCGTACTCGGTTGCCAGAAGCTCATTTCCGTGGCCCTTGATCGTCCGTTGTAATTCATCTTGGGTCGGCTGTTCGGGTGATCTGGGCTCCTCCTCATCGTCTGAGTAGTCTTCGTCGTCGGATTCCAGCTCCGGCGGCTCTGTAGGAGAGGGCTCTGCATGTGAAGCAGGTTTCGCTGCAGCTGATGGGAATCGCTCCAGCGAAAGGCCATCATCTGCTTCATCGTCCAAGTCCACATCATCTTCATCATCCGAATCCGTGTCGTAATCGTATTGCTGAGGTGGTGGAGGCGGTGACGTTCGTCCGAGTTGGCCGGTCGATGGTTTATGTTGGAGTCGGTGATCTACATGGCCAGTTCCCTTGAATGCGACGGAGCTTGTCCGGTTGCTCTTGGAAATATGGTGCTCGATCTCGACAATGCGTAATCGCAAAGACTCGTAGTGCATGAGATGGCCAACAACGAAGCGCAGATTGCGGTCTGGCCTGCTGGCTGCTATCTGGAGTCGACATTGTGCCGTGTGGGCCAGTGTGTAAGCTTCTTTCAAAGACATTGTGTTGTGGGATTTGCTTGGAGGAAGATGTTTTGCAAAGAAATGATTCCAGGTGTGGTGTGATCGATAGCGAGCACAGACCAGGGCCTCCGATTTTACGGCAGAATGGGTACACCGCCGGGCGAAATGCCAGTGGCAGAAATTTCTGCCGACGTCGTGTTCTGTTGCGCAAGCAGGTGTATATACAAGGCGCGTCGGCGTTTATTGAGTTCGAATGTTCTTGCCGTGTTCGAGCTCGGTTTGTAATCAGCCGAGTCAGTCTTCAGAGCTGCTTGAGTCACACATGGCGCTGTGTAAGCAAAGGCAGAAAGTACACAAGTACTGCCTCAGCCGCGACGCCATTTTCGCATTTTCCGCATGCAAAATGGACTCGTCGGTGCTTGCGGCGCGCATTCTTTTAATGTTGTGGTTCAGTCAGGTGATATGCTGGTTAGCTGATACCATTAGCTGACCTATGCTAAGAGGAAGGATACACAATAGGTATATTAACTGCAGTTTCTATAGCAGGCTCCTAATTCTTCTTTATATAGTTATATAGTTGTCAATCCGATAATTAGTTGTATCCCTAGTACGATTTATAATAGGTTATAAGCCCGGCGTATACGCTTACCTATCTAGTTTAACTATAAAAGAACTGTTTCTAGAGTTTACTAAACAGAGCTAGCTATCTGGACCTATTAGGTACCTAGTTAAGAGCTCTAGTTCGGACTAAAACCTAGCAAGTGTCCCTTATAAGCCCTACCTAGTACTATACTAAAAGGCAGCTAGGAACGATAGACACTAATTAGATAAAGATAGCAAAGGAGAATTAGGTTCTTAGGAAGGGGATCAACTTCTAAGACTAGAAGCTTATATTCTAGGCGGCCCTTCTAGAAAAGGACCTAGTTAGTATAGTATTCTATAGACTTAACTAGGCTAATAAAATAAAACTACCTCTAAAAAGCATGTTTATAGGGGACTTAGCCGATTAGCAGTATAGAGATATGTTTAGGGACTAGAAGAAGAAAGATATCTAAGCCCTAGGTATACTTATTGCTAGACTCGACCCTGCCCTTAGACTAGACTTCGGTAATACACCTAAGTTAGCTAAGGATATATACGACTATATTAAGGCTCTATATAAGCCTATTATAACCGTAGACATATTTAATACTATCAAACTCATTAGGCATATTAGGATGCCCCTTACTAATCCGAACACCTAGTAGTACTACGAATCTTTTTAGTAGTAGTTTAATAGATTCTAAATATCGATAGAACAATTTGCTAGCTTAGTTATAATAATAGAAGCGCCTATAAAGTTATTAGATATTAAGATGCTTAATATGCTTATTAGGATGCTGTTTATTTAGGGCCTTTCTAGTTACGAATAGCTTAGATCCTAGAAGCACAACAATAAGCCTAAAGCTAAGGACTCCTCCCTTAAAGCAATAATAACGTCCCTAAGGAGAGAAAAGCCTCCTAGATAGTTATCTAGCGGCTTAAAGCTTATTAGAGGGGCTATTAGCAATAATAACGACTAATACACTTAGTGCAAGCACAAATACACTAACGCTAAGTGCTATAAGCAATACCCTAATATAGCACTACCTAGTTAGGGAAAGAAAGATAAGAGCAAAGATAAAGACAAAGACAAAGGTAAGAAGGGTAAAGGCAAAGGAAAGGGCAAATCTAGTAGTACTATTAATAATAATAAAGATGAATTAGACTCCTCCTCTAACTCGGAAAATAAGGGAGACTATTAGCTAGACGGCCTTAGTAGGGGCCTAATTAGGGGAGCTATTGCAAAGCCGGGACTAGCTATAGCAAGCTCTAAGAACCTAATAGCTAATACAAAAGTTTGGGATATAGGTATATTACTATACATTATAGGGAACAAGAGCTAGTTTAGCGATCTTAAGCACCTAACTAAGCCTATTCAGTTCTCCTAAGTAGTAGGAAAATTAAGTGTATTACGATTAGGAACTGTTAACATCTTCCTAACCTATAAAGGAAAGAAAACCCTAATTACTCTAATAGACGTCCTCTACTCCCCGAACTCAGATTGCAACCTAATCTTAGCAGAGCGTCTTTAGAAGAAATGTAGTATTCACTTAGACAGACCTTTAGGTACTTTAATACTTAAAGGTAAGCTAATTAGAAAGGTTGAGGAAGTATAAGGAGTACTCGCCCTTAAAGATACTAGAGTCAAAATACTAGGCTTAGCTTTAAAACCAAACTTAGAATCGAGTTAGAAAGGGCAGCTATTAGCCCTAGCTATCGCTAGACTACGAGCGGATACATTAAGATAGCATTAGAGACTTAGCTACGTCGGCAATAAGATCCTAACAGCTACTAAGGAAGCTATTCTAGGCCTAGAAGAAGTTAATACATCTAAACTCGAGCACTATAAGACCTATAAGCTCTCGAGAGCTTAAAGAGTTATATTAAGAGAACATAGAACCAGACTAGAAAAAGCCCTTAACGAAGTCTATATTAACCTTATTAGCGTACAACCATTTGATCTGTTTAGAAACAGGTACATCATAATCCTAACTAATACTAAAACTAGGCTTAGGTAGGGTCTATTACTTCGAAACAAAGACAAGGTAACAAGTAGTAATAAGCTAACTAACTGGATAACTAGAATTAAGAGGCAATATAACAAAATCCCTAAGATTATCTTTAGTAATAGCGGGGGAGAGTTTACTAACAACGATCTAGTACATTTTGTAGAGGAAGTTAGCATCAGATAGGATATATCTGCACTATATATACCGGAGCAGAATAGTATTGTAGAGTCGTTAAACAAGACGATTCTGCTTAAGGTAAGAGCAATAATAATTAACTCTAGCCTACTAATGCACTACTAGTGCTTTACAGTAATGCATTCGATTTACCTAACTAATAGACTAGTAAACTTAAGAACTAAGGAAGTTCCACTTAAGGCTTTCGAATCAGACTTAAATATCGGCAGCACAGACATTAACCTATCTAAGACGAGACGATTTAGCTGCAAGGCATTTAAATACCTCGAATCCGGGGTTAAACGACTTAACTCCTAGAAATTTGTACTAAGAGCTTTCGTTTACTAGTTTATTGGATTCTAAGAAAATTCATTAACAAACTATCTGCTTTAGAACCCGTACTAGAAGGATAGCGTATAGCAGCATAATATCAGATTCTCTCTATACGTTACCTTCAACGAGGACTTTGTCTATAAAGACAATTTTACTAAGCTTCTAAGTACCCTTTAAGCTTAGGGGGAGTATTTAAGACTAGCTGTCCCTTAGGAGACTATTTAGGTACTTAAAACCTAGTCTGACCTTTTATTTGAGTTAGGAATCCTAGCACTATTCCCTAGTAATAACTAAACACCTTAGCACTCTTTAGAACCTTAGGGGGAGCCATTTAGAGGTAGCATCCCTTAGCCTTAGTAGGCTTATAATCAGGAAGATTAGGAAGACTCCCTTACAGCTTAGAGGGAGCAAGGTATACTTAAGCAAGGAACACTACCTTAGCTAATACCTACAGCTAATAAGCCAATACTCCAAAATCACTAACTAGAACTACTAGCTACCTAGTAGGAAGCTGCTCCTAAGAAAAATCAGTATACTTAAGAAACAGATACTGCTAAACTAGAAGACACCCTAATCACTCCCTTCTAAGTCCCTAAGACTACTAGTAAGAGAAAGAGGGCTCTTAACCCACCTTAGCTAAACCCTCCTTAAGCCGAAGTACGACTTAGGTCTAGCAGAGCCGTAGCTAAGTATAACTATAGCAAGATTACTAAGATTGCTATAGCCGCTGCTATAAAAGATGCTTAGAAGCTAGCTAACCTAACAACCCTAGCTAAAGCCCTAAAAAGGCCTAACTAGGATAAATAGAGAAAAGCCGTTATAAAAGAGATAAGGTCTCTTAAAAAGTCTAGTACAATCGAGTAGATTCTAGCCGAATCCCTGCTAAAAGGCAGGACACCTCTAATAGGAAAATGGGTTTTCAAGATCAAATACCTACTAGACGGCTCTATTAATAAATACAAGGCAAGATAGACAGCTAGAGGCTTTATATAGAAGCAAGGTCTCGACTATATTAACACCTATACTCCTACACTAAGAGCAGCTACTACTAGACTTATCCTTAGGCTTTTAGTAAACAAAAACTAGAAGCGAAGACAGGTTGATATCGAGACTGCTTTCTTAAATCCCCCTCTAGACAAAGAGATTTTTATTAGATCCCTAAAAGGCGCGCACCTGTTTAAGAAGCACCCTCTAAAGTAGATTATCCGTATTAGAAAAGGATTGTATAGCCTTAAGTAGGCTGCTAATCTCTAGCACTATAATGCTTTAGACACTCTTCGTTAACTTAGCCTAAGTAGGACAAAGAGTAACTATTGCCTATAGCAAGGTAATAGTATTCTTATCCTCCTTTATATAGATAACTTCTAAATCTTTAGAACCTCTAAGGCAAAGATCGATGCTCTAATTAAAGGTCTTCGCAAGAAGTATACAATTAAGATTATTACGTCTAACCTATTTCTAGGCCTTTATCTAAAGGAAGACAAGGAGGGAAACCTTACTATCTCCTAGATACACTATACTAAAGAGAAGCTTTAGAAGTATAGCTTAGACTAGTACAAGCTAATAAAGCATCCACTTAAGAAGCTTTACGAGCCTCTTATAACCCCCTATAACCGTTAGGACTACTAGCTGTTTAATACCATAATTAGTGAAATGCAGTTTCTAGCTAACTAGACTAGACTAGACATTAGCTACGCCGTTAACTACCTTGCTAGGTTCCTTTAGAATCCCGGACCTAAGCATATTATAGCTGCTAAATATCTCTAGAGGTACATTGCTAGCACAGTTAATAAAGGACTTATCTTTAGAAAGAAGAAAACTTTGGAATTTCAGGCATACTCTAACGTAGACTTTGCTAGTAACCCTTCATTATCAAGATCAATATTAGGCGCCCTTATACTTCTTAACAATACTCTAATTATATAGAGATTATAGCTCTAGAAGGAAGTCGTGCTCTCTAGCACTAAAGCAGAGTATATTGCTCTAATAGAAGCATATAGAGAAATCTGCTAGCTCCGAAATTTGATAACTAAGCTTTAACTACTTACTAGGGAAGAAGTTAACAGGATTCATATCTAGGTAGACAACTAGTTAGCTATTTCCCTTATTAAGGACTATACTAATTCTAAGAGGTCGAGGCACGTTTCCCTTAGGAACTACTACTGCAGAGAACAGTATGCCTAAGGAAAGATTAGTGTCGAATTCGTTACTACTAACAAACAGCTAGCGGACTGTTTCACTAAGCCTAAATCTCTAAACAAAATTCTCTAATAATATAGCGTCTCTAGGACAAACTCCTAAGTTACTCCTTTAGAAAGAAAAATCTTATTTATAGGATTAGAAAACAAGCTTTATACACTTATTGAATTTCATTCTGATTTCTAGAAACAGC